ATTCAGGTGGTCGGATGAGTGTGAGGAGAGCTTTCAGAAGCTCAAGACTGCCTTGACCACAACTCCAGTGTTAGTTTTGCCATCAGCTTCAGGTTCATATACCGTGTATTGTGATGCTCCGAGAGTTGGTATTGGGTGTGTGTTGATGCAGGAGGGTAGAATTATTGCTTATGCTTCTCGTCAGTTGAAGCCCCATGAGAAGAACTACTCCATTCATGATTTGGAGTTGGCTGTCATTGTTCACGCATTGAAGATTTGGAGGCATTACTTATATAGTGTGTCTTGTGAGGTATTTACTGATCATCGTAGCCTCCAACACTTGTTCAAGTAAAAGGATCTCAATTTGAGGCAGCAGAGATGGTTGGAGTTGCTAAAGGATTATGATATTACTATATTGTACCATCCGGGGAAGGCCAATGTGGTGGCTGATACTTTGAGCTAGAAGGCAGTGAGTAAGGGAAGTTTGGCATATATTCCAGTTGGGGAGAGACCTCTTGCAGTTGATGTTTAGGTATTGGCCAATCAGTTTGTGAGGTTGGATATTTCGGAGCCCAGTTAGGTATTGGCTTGTGTGATTTCTTTGTCTTCCTTATATGATCTCATTAGAGAGCGCCAGTTTGATGATCCTCATTTGCTTGTCCTTAAGGACAGAGTTCAGCATGATGATGCCATAGATGTGACCATTGGTGATGATGGGGTGTTGAGGATGCAAGGCCGGATATGTGTGCCCAATGTAGATGGGCTTCGGGAGTTGATTCTGGAGGAGGCCCATAACTCGCGGTATTCCATTCATCCGGGTGCTGCGAAGATGTATCAGGATCTGAGACAACATTATTGGTAGAGGAGAATGAAGAAGGACATTGTGGGATTTGTAGCTCGGTGTCTCAATTGTCACCAGGTGAAATATGAGCATCAGAGACTTGGTGGCTTGCTTCAGCGGATGGATATTCCAGAGTGGAAGTGGGAGCGGATCACCATAGACTTTGTAGTTGGGCTTCCATGGACTTTGAAGAAGTTCGATGCTATTTGGGTGATTGTGGATTAGCTGACCAAGTATGCGCACTTCATTCCTGTGTATACTACCTATTCTTCAGAGCGGTTGGCAGAGATCTATATCCGGGAGATTGTTCGTTTGCATAGTGTCCCAGTTTCCATCATTTTAGAGAGGGGCACTCAGTTTACTTCGCAATTTTGGAGGTCTGTGCAGTGAGAGTTGGGTACTCAGGTTGAGTTGAGCACATCTTTTCACCCTCAGATGGACGGGTAGTCCGAGCGAACTATTCAGATATTGGAGGACATGTTGCATGCTTGTGTCATTGATTTCGGAGGTCATAGGATCAGTTTCTACCGCTCGCAGAGTTTTCTTATAACAACAGCTACCAGTCTAGTATTCAGATGGCTCTATATGAGGCTATGTATGGGAGGCAGTGTAGATATCCAGTCGGTTGGTTTGAGCCGGGTGAGGCTATGCTATTGGGGACATACTTGGTGTAGGATGCTTTAGAAAGGGTGAAGGTAATTCAGGAGAGGCTTCGTATAGCGCAGTCAAGGCAAAAGAGTTATGCTGACAGGAAGGTTCGGGATGTGTCCTACATGGTTGGTGAAAAGGTTCTATTGAAGGTTTCACCCATGAAGGGTGTTATGAGATTTGGGAAGAATGGTAAATTGAGTCCTCGGTTCATTGGGCCTTTTGAGGTACTTCAGAGGATTGGGGAGGTGGCTTATGAGCTTGCTTTGCCACCGAGCTTGTTGAGTGTGCATCCGATATTTCATGTTTCTATGCTCCAGAAGTATATTGGGGATCCGTCTCATGTTTTGGATTTCAGCACGGTTCAGTTAGACAATGATTTGACTTATGATGTGGAGTTAGGAGCTATTTTGGAGTGTCAGGTTCGAAAGTTGAGGTCAAAGGATATAGCTTCCGTGAAAGTGCAATGGAGAGGTCAGCCCATGGATGAGGCTACCTGGGAGACCGAGCGGGAGATGCGGAGCAGATATCCTCACCTATTTGAGGCTTCAGGTATGTTTCTTAACTCGTTCAAGGATGAACGTTTGTTTAAAAGGGGGAGAATGTGACAACCCGACCAGTCATCTCATGAGTTACCGCTCCGTTTCCCTTATTTCTGCTTCTTATTGCCTTGTTCAGTTATATTTTGTGTTACCGATTTGGTTGGCTCGGGTTCGGATAGGTTTTGGTAAGGTTTGAGACACTCAGTCTCTTTTGAGGAAGCTTAAGTTGGAAAGTTAACCGGATATTGACTTATATGTTAAAGGGCTCAGATGTGAGTTCCGATGGTTTGAATAGCTTTGGGAGGTGATTTGGGACTTAGGAGCGTGATCGGAATGTGTTTTGGAGGTCCGGAGTAGATTTAGGCTTGAATTGGCGAAATTGGAATTTTTGCGTTTTCCGGTTGATAGGTAAGATTTTGATATAGGGGCCGGAATGGAATTCCGGAATTTGCAGTAGGTCCATTGTGTCATTTGGGATGTGTGTGCAAAATTTCAGGTCATTCGTACATGGTTTGATAGACTTTTTGATCGAAAGTGGAATTTAGAAGATTTTGGAATTCTTAGGTTGAATCCGATGTGAATTTGGTGTTTTGATGTTGTTTTGAGTGTTCCGAAGGTTGGAACAAGTTTGAATAATGTTATGGGATATGTTGGCATGTTTGATTGAGGTCCCGAGGGCCTCGGGTGAGTTTCGGGTGGTCAAACGGACTATTTCATTGGTGAAAAATTGCAGAAAACTGTTGTGTTTGTTGCAAACCAGTTGGCCTTTGTGTTCGTGAGTGGGCCCTCGCGTTAGTGAAGGTTTCGCATGTGGGAATGAATATTTAGCCTTTGTGTTTGCGAGGGAGGTCCCGTATTCGCGAAGGGCTGGGGTCGTTGAGCTACGCGTTCGCGAAGGGGAGCCGCATTTGCGAAGGGTTGGAGTCAAGAAGCATCGCGTTCGCGAGAGAGTAGACGCGTTCGCGATGGAGGAAAATGTAGTCAACGTCAGGTTGTGCTTCGCGAATGCGAGGCTTTGACCGCGTTCACGAAGAAGGATTTGAATGCCTGGGCAGAATATTTAAATAGCCATTGTCTGCGATTTTGGGTTTAACTTTTACCATTTTGAGCGATTTTGGAGCTTTTTGAAGAGGATTGAAGAGGGAATCAAGGGGGAACACTTGGAGGTAAGATTTATGGACTTAATACTCAATCCTAATGTGATTTCTACCTAATTAATCATGGAATTTAAGCCTAATATTGAAGAACTAGGGCTTGTAATTGGAGACCTAAAATTAGGGATTTGAGGGGCCATTTGTGTCGGATTTTGGTATTCTTGGTATGTATGAACTCGGGAAGTGATAAGGAGTCTATTGATGTAAATTTTATCGGAGTCTGAGACGTGGGCCCGGGGGTCGTGTTTGGCCAATTTCGGGATTTGTGTTGTAATTTGATTTCTTTCGAGTGAGCTTTGTCCCCTTAGCATATTTTGATGGTTTTGCACTGATTTTGGTTGGATTTGGAGCATCTGGAGGCCGATTCGAGAGGCAAAGGCATCGCGGACTAGAGTTTGGACCGGATAGAGGTGAGTAATGATTGTAAATGTTGTCCTAATGGTATGAAACCTCGGATTTCACATCGTTATGCTATATTGAGGTGACACACACGCTAGATGACAAGCGTGGGGTCGTGCACCGTTGGGGATTGTGACTTAGTCCATCCTGAATGACTGTTTTACCACGTATTTGATCGAAAACTGTTTGCCATCATCATGTTTTGGGCTGAATGCCATATTTGGGCCTCGTGCCAACTATTTGGACCCTTAGGGGATTTTTACTGCTATTTCCTCACTATTTTGATTTTATATCTATACTCAGTCATACTATATTATACTGTTTTCATAACTCAGCCATGTTTACTCTGTTTTAACACCTTAAATGATATATTGGGCCGAGCATCATATTTTACTGTGCCCGAGTGGCTTTTATAGATTTCTGATTGAGTAAGGCCGAGGGCCTGTGTTGTGAGAATTATTATGGGATCGGGCTGCATGCCGCATCAATGTTGTACTGATTATGATTATGAGGTCGATGGCCTGAGTTGTACGCCACAAGGTGGCTTGATATGAGGCCGAGAGCCTATTGATTATGCCACGGGATGGCTTGATATTGCGCTTGGGCCGTAAGGGGTCCCTCCCGGAGTCTATATACCCCCAGTGAGCGCGGGTACCCATTGTGATATGAGATATAGCCCGAGGGGCTGGTGTTGTTCTATGTTATTGCCCGAGGGGCTGATTCTGTTGACATTGTGCCTGAGAGGCAGATTTTATGTGTTTTATCTTTTCTAGCTGCCTTTCATTTACTGGTCTAACTGTTAAAAATGTGTTTTAAAGAAGCTTATACTGAACTAAGGTGTTTCATGAGATTTCACTTTTGTATTGCACTTTATTGGTTTTACTCTGCCTCTTTATAGCATGTTGTTGTATTTTTACGTGATTTCCTATCGCTCAGTCTTCATTTATTGTTATTACTCACTGAGTTGGAGTACTCACTTTACTCCCTGCACCCTGTGTGCAGATTTAGGAGCTTCAGGTCCTGCTAGCGAGGGTTGATAGCTTCCAGCAGATTATCGGAGTCCACTAGGTAGCTGCTCAGCGTTCGTAGCCCAGTGTTTCTCCCTCCTATCATTATTTCTTTCCCTTGTACTGGATTTTGTAATAGACTGTGTAGTTCCTTTTCCATATTCCTAGACTTGTGTTAGATACTCATGACTGGTGACACCCCGATGTCAGGATGTGTTGGTTTTTTCGCAAATTGTACTGTTTCACTATTTATTTGGGATTCAATCATGTTAAAGACTTAAATTATGTGATTTTAAATGCTAAAAATGAATTGGGTGTTGTGTCGGCTGGCCTTGTCTTCACGAGAGGCGCCATCACGACCGGGTCTGGGTTTAGGGTCATGACATCATTGGGATTACATGAAAGGTGAATGGACACTTTTTACGCGTTGATGAGAGGGGAGACATGGTTAGGATGGGATGCCACGAAAAATATGATTATGGCAGATGATGATTGGTGGGAGCGAAAAATTAAGGTACATCTCTCACATTTTTATATGTATAATTCTTATTTTTGTCATTGTTAATTTTATCAGTTTGATTAAAGTAGTTTTGATTTTCTCTTTTTACAAGAGAATGAAAAATATAAGAAATTTAGGAACAAAGATCTTTTGCTTATATGGTTTCGCTACGATGCGCTGTTTGCTGTTGTTGTTGCCACAGGAGAAAGAGCACGTGCAACAAATCAAGAACAATCGTCCGGCATTGGACTTAATCTTGATGAAGAAGGAATAAATGTTATTGATAATTGTGACAAAGAACACTTTACTTATCCTAATGATGAAATGAGCGATGAAAGTAATGATCTACAGAATATAAATTCTGTTATATTTTCAGAGTCATCACTAAAAAGACAAAAATCAACTGATGGTGTTAGCACCAGTAGTCAAGTAAGAAAGAGTAAGAAAAGAACAACTGCAACATTAATAAAAGAGGATATACACTCTCTCATAGAGTTTATGTCTAGCAAAAGCACTGCTACAGCTCTTGCAGTTGATGAGACATCCATCGAGAAGTGTATTAAACTTATAAATTAACTTTTATAAGTATTACTAACTTAAGGTAAATTTATACTTGTAAATATATTTAGGATTGTATTGGAGCACTTGATGATACACATGTTAAAGCAAGATTTCCGCAAGGTCAAGAAATATCATATATTGGACGTAAAGTTTATCTGACTCAAAATATTCTTGGTGTCGTAGATTTTAATATGTGTTTTACATTTGTATGGGCTGGGTGGGAAGGAGTAGCTCACGATAGTCGTATATTTGGTGAGGCACTTCGTAGACCAGAACTCAACTTTTCACGTCCAATTAGAAATAAGTATTATCTAGTTGATGTAGTATATCCACACATGAAGGGATATATGGCTCCATACAAAGGAGATAATGTGAGATATCACCTAGCACAATTCCGCCACGGTGCAACAAGACAATTGCAAGAACCAAGGGGGCGAATTGAAAAATTTAACTATTTGCATTCTTCTTGTAAAAATATTGTAGAGAGCACATTTGGGGTTTGGAAAACAAGATGGTCTATTTTACGAGACATGCCTTTCTATCACATTGACACTCAAGGAGACATTGTACTTGCTACTATGGCCATTCATAACTATATTAGAAAGAAATGCAATATGGATGACGCATTCCGAATAGCTGAGAATGAGAGATATATTCCATCTGTTGATCCTGATGTTGGTATATCTTTGAGAGATAATAACAATATAAATGCGAAAAATGTGGAAGACCAAAGTGATCTTGTTTGGATGGGTCTTCGCGATTTGATTGCTAATGAAATTTGTGATACTTATAGTTGTATGAATCTTTTAAAACACTAATACTTATTATTTTACATTCCAATTGAGAAATGTTATTTTGTTTCGCTCTCTTGAAATATGCATATAATGACCTAACTTTTTATAGAATTTGAGAAATCAGTGTTCTGGAAATTTGATGCATTGATTTTATATTCTGAATCTTTATTAGTTAGAGGAACAAATTATTTTTCTTTCCTCTTCTGTACAAGCTAAAAATGAGCGTTAAAGAATTATATTTGTAAAAACTATCTTAAGTAATCATTTAAATTGAAACTAAATTAAAATATAAATTATTTTTTATTTGCATTAATTATGAATCAAATATATTGTACTAATCATCTCCTTTATAATGTTAACAACTTTAAGGATATTTCTGTCTTTTTAACAGAAAAAAGTTCTTACCGGCACTTGTTTACCAAACACTTCAACAACGTTTTTTAAGTTTCAACACTCTTATCCAAACAGGTAATTGCTATTTATAAAACAAGTTTCAACACTTAAAAGCTGCTTTTAAGCACTTGTACTTAAAAGCTACTTTTTTCCAGCTAATCCAAACGGGCTCTAGAACATCTTCTGAGTTGTTAACTATTAATAATAACAACATACCCAATATATTCCTACATATATATAATTGTCCAAGGTGAACAATTGTTCATTAAAACTGTTTTATAATGCTCATAAGGTATAGGATCGGCGATCCCCTCTTCCAAAATATATTGTAAGTTTCCTTACAAAAAATTAAGAACACCTACTTTTAGAAAGAACACTATTTTTCTTTAGGTAGGTAATTCTTTTAATTATAAGATCCTTTATGAGTGAGGTTAATCGAGGGGTTGAAACAATTTGTTGGCAATATGGAACCATATTTCACTCAACCCTTACGGCTTACGCATTCGAGGAAGATACTGGAATCGAAAAGGACCAGATTTGTCACGACCCTAACCCCGAATCCGGTCGTGATGGCGCCTCTCATGAAAACAAAGCCAGCCAATTAAACCCAATTCACTTTTTAAAACAGTTAAACAAATAAAAAAGCAGTCTAATGAATTAATAATAATGAGTAGCGGATATACAACACAACACAGCCCTAACCCGGGTGTCACAAGTCACGAGCATCTACTATGGTATAAATACAACTGAAAGCCTGGAGTGTACAAATACAGTCTACTGAAATGAAGAGAGAGAAAGGCAGTGCTGCGAACGCCGGCAGCTACCTTGTAAACTCTAATGACTCTGCCTCCGATCAGCCAAAACCGCTACCGGGTGTATAAATACCTGAATCTGCACACAAGGTGCATGAAGTAAAGTGAGTACTCCAACTTAGTGAGTAACAAATGTAAATAAAGACTGAAGGCAAAAAATCACGTAAAACATACCAAGATGCTATATAGAAGCAGTTCAAAACCAGTAAGAAAATAGTGAAGCTGTAAAAATCTCTTAAAATATCTTAGCTCAGTTTAAACTTCTTTGAAAATGGCTTTTTCAATGGTTACACAAATGAATGCAAAATAGTTAGTGCAAAGAAGCACAGAAATTCGCCCCTCGGGCACAAATACCATAGTTTAACAGGTAAAATAACAAGTAAATATGAAAGATAAACAAATAAAGGTTCGCCCCTCGGGCACAATGTCAATAACTCCGCCTCTCGGGCAATATCTCAGAACAATACCAGCCCTTCGGGCAATCACATAGAATGGTACCAGCCCCTAGGGCAATTACATAGAACAATACTAGTCCTCGGGCTATCACATAGAACAATATCAGCCCCTCGTGCTATCTCTCACATCACAATGGGTACCCGCGCTCACTGGGGGTGTACAAACTATGGGAGGGGCCCCTTATGACCCAAGCGTAATATCAAGCCATCTCGTGGCATCAAATCTAGGCCCTCAGCCTCATATCAGTCAAGCCACCTCGTGGCTTATATATCTCAGGCCCTCGGCCTCAATCAGTATCTCATTGCTGCGGCGTATAGCACGACCCAAAAGTATCCTCACAATACAGGCCCTCGGCCTTACTCAGTCAAAAATCACATAAGCCACTCGGGCAACAGTAAAACATAACACTCAGCCCAAAATATTATTTAAAATATCATTTCAAGTGTTAAAGCAAAGTAAAGTTTTGAAAACAGTGGAAAATAACATGACTGAGTTCAAGTATAAAGTCAAAACAGTGAGAAAATATCAACAAAAATCCCCGAAGGGTTCAAATAGCTGGCACTAGGCCCAAATATGGCTTTCAGCCCAAATAATGATGATAGCAATTAGTTTTCAATCAAATACGCGGTAAAATCATCAATCGGGACGGACCAAGTCACAATTCCCAATAGTGCACGACCCCACGCTCGTCATCAAGCGTGTGCCTCACCTCAATATAGCATAACAATGTGCAATCCGGGGTTTCAAACCCTCAAAACATCATTTACAATCATTACTCATGTCGAACCGGTTAAATCTCTAGCTCGCGACGCCTTTGCCCCTCAAATCGGCCTCCACGCGCGTCGAATCTATCCAAACTCAGAACGTGGACGTCAAAATATGCTAAGGGAACAAAGCCCAAGCGAAAACAATCAAATTACCACAAAATTCCCGAAATTTGTCAAACCCGACCCCCGGGCCCACATCTCAGAATTTGACAAAATTCACAAAACCAGAATCCTTATACTCTCACGAGTCTAACCATACAAAAATTATCCAATTCTGATACCATTTGGTCCTTCAAATCATCATTTTACATTTTTAAAAGATTTCACAATTTTTCTTCCCAAATTCCATCCCAAATCACGAATTAAATGATGAATTCAATGATAGATTCATGTACTCTAGCCAAATCTGAGTTAGAATCACTTACCCCGATGAATTTCTTGAAAAACCTTCGAAATATCGCCAACATCTGAGCACTCTAGGTCACAATGTTAAATAAAACCCAAAACCTCGTATTTATAGAGTACCCCATGGATTTCCACCTCTGCGGACCGCACAAAAACGACCGCGGTCCGCACAAAAACGACTGCGGCCACACAAGTTTTCCTCTACAGTGACAAGCTTTATTAGTTTGGCCATAACATTCGCTACAGATGTCCAAATTTCTCATATAATATGTTTCTGAAAACTAGATTGAAAGAGCTATAACTTTCGTTTTTGAATCATCTCAAAATTCCTTGTATATCAAAAGATATGAGTTTCCGAAATAGGACCAGTGAAATGTTTCCCACCGCGGCCGCACTGCATTTTGTGCGGTCCGCACAACACCTACCGCGGATGCACTTCTTTTTGTGCGGTCCGCACAACACATATCGCGGACGCACTTCATTTTGTGCGAACCGCGTGGGTGGGTTCCGAGGCCTGCAACCCTTCTGGACCTGCTACAACTATGATTTTCGGCCTAAAACATCCCGGAACCTACCCGGAACTCCTGGAACTTCAAACCAATTGTACCAACACATCCCATGACATTGTTCAAACTTGTTCAAAACTTTGGAATGCTCACAACAACATAAAATCACCACTTTAACATAGGATTCAAGCCTAAGAACTCTTAAATTATGCTTTCGATCAAAAGGTCTATCAAATCTCGTCCGAATGACCTGAAATTTTGCACACACATCCCAAATGACACAACGAAGCTACTGCAACTCTCGGAATTTTATTCCGACCTCTATATCAAAATCTCACCTATCAGCCAGAAAACGCTGAAATCTCAATTTCGCCAATTCAAGCCTAAACCTTTCACGGACTTCCAACATGTATTCTGATCACGCTCCTAAGTCCTAAATCACCTAATGGAGCTAACCAAACCATAAAAATTCTAATCTGAGATCAAATACAAATAAGTCAAATCTTGGTCAAACCTTTCAAATTTTAAGCTTTCAACTGAGACTGTTCTTCCAAATTCATTCTGATTAACCTGAAATCAAACACCAACAATTTACATAAGTCATAATACACCAAACGGGGCAAGTCATGCCCGAGAACTAGCAAGCAAAGTGTAAAAACTCAAAATGACTAGTCGAGTCATTACATCTTCCCCCACTTAAACATACGTTCGTCCTCGAACGTGCCCAGAATTGTTCCAAAAGCCAACCAATCGCTTAATAACCTTACCATGCATATACCCGGGGGTGAGCCCACGTCACCCTATCTCATATAGGTCCGATAACACAATGAAACTGCATTTCCACATTCCAACCTAGCCCATAAGCCTTAGAACCACATCCCCACTTCTGAAATCATTCACAAGATCAGAATCTCACATCTATTTTCAGAATAAGCCCGAACAAGCTGTAATCACCCATACTTGCAATCTCAGGTGCAATCACTTTATATACCACATAACTCAAACACTCGTAGTGATAACTTCTAATTACAGTAGCTGCACACAACACTCGAATACCGATAGAAAAACTCTTATCAACTAAAGTCTCACCCCAACACTTTCATATACTGCTAATGATCACTAAAACATGCGGTAAGCCATAACCATTTCCCAAATCAACCATTCAAGAAGCCACTTCTCCTTTGCCAAATACCACAACAAATTTCTGAGCCGAACCTCGATATTATCCTTCTAACATGCTGAAATCGAATCCGTTCGTATTCATTAATGATCCCAACGATCTCCTCTAATCCAACAAACAACTCTAGTGACATGATACATCAATATAGGCCTAAGCTACAACTTGCATAATACGCGCACCAATAAGTAACGATCGGAACATACTCAAATCATGAAAATGACTCAAATGGAAGAGCTGTACCTCAAGCTCACTAGTACCACCACAACACAAGGCTGAGAACCCATCTCACATCATAGGAACAGAACACACGAATCTAACCTGCAAGGTCATACCTCCACATAACTTCGCTGCGATGCACGATCCTATCCAACACTGCTCTACATGAACCACCTCAAGTCACTATGCTCGAAATCGACAACCACGCACAATTTGATGTCTAGAACCAAAGCAAATCATCATACCCATGGTAGAGCAAATAACCTACACCACACAAACTCGAAAGAAC